ATAGCGTTGTATATTATAATTTATATGTGTAACAGATGGGTTGTGCAATTCTTTTCTTTTCATTATTCTATATAATATATAACACTAAATCTATTACGGTCTAAAGGACTGTTTTTAAGCTATTGGTTAAAAATATTGCATTTTACGACGTTTCTCGTGATACATACGTAACGTGTTGCATTGGGATTTTAAAATAAGAAACTATATTACTTCTTCGAACTATGACTTATGACCTTTCCAGTTCCGCGCTTTTCTGCATTTTGAAGGAGACAAAAGCCGGGAATATATCGTCGCTGGCATATAAGCTTTTGTAAGAACGAGTAAATCTCAGCGTGTTTGATTATGTAGGTACAAAGGTAAAAGGCGTTGGAATCTTATGACAGAGCGTATACGACACGTAGAACGCGGAAGGAAAACATTTTCTCGCGCATTAATTAATAATTCTCTCGGCTGAATTGAAACACAGGATCACGCAAGAAGAGAGTCATGGAAGTTCAGATCCCCTCGCACTCTGAGCGTCACGCATGACCTAATGCGATGTCGGATGGCACGAGGTCATTCCGACGCTAACTCGCGGAAATAAACGCGAAGGACTTCATTTTTCTTTGCGCTATCTGACCCGATATGCCAACAAACGCCTCTCGACGTCGTCTATTTGTTTCTCTGGATCGCGTTGCTCGCTGTATAAATATCGATCAAAATTCCATGTAATAAATGATACTATCCGAGATTGCGTGAATCGGTTGACGTTATATCCAGGAGGTTCTTGTACGCGATCTTTCGATATATTACGTAAACAATAATGTGTCGCTCGCGTTTCAAATATACGCAATGGCGTGATATTTGTCAGACAACGAATGCATTTCATGACAAATGCTCCAGTGTAATTCAATCTGATACGTGAATATTGGTTTAAATTACTCGAGGATTCTGGTTTGGCAGTTTTGTATTTGACAATAAAATACAATATTGTAAGTTCATTGTAACAGACAGATTGAAAAAAGATTTCCATTCTTAATACTAGGTTTACGGACGCTATCTGTATACCTATTTCTAAGGACACCTGTCAAATTGACAGGTAAAGAAAACTACGTGCCTTTTTTTAACGATTAGTTTAATTTAAAAGTAATTATATATTATGTTAACAGTCTTTATATAAGTTAATTAAATCTGTTACCATCGTATAATTGGAGTAACCCTTCCGTCAAATTGACGGGTTCTGTAAATCTAGTGTTAAATTTTGTATCGTATAATATATCTATTTTGTAAGTTCATGTGATTACACGTTTAATATAGATAAACATTTTCAGCTTTGAGAATGATGAAGTCAGAATGTCAGAAAGTTAGAAAATTTCAGCTACATCAAAAACCTTGAATTTATGAAACCGAATAATTTATATTAATATATTGTATTATTTAGTACATTATTATATTCTTTCTGTATTATTGTATTTATTTAATAGTGTACTATTTATATACATTAATAACCTATTTGATTTATATATGAGAACGATAAAATCAAAATTAATATTTTCTTTTAGCATCCTTTTTCGAGATAGAATCTCCAGCTTCTAAAAAATTATTATGCTAATATACTATATTATTTCTTATATCGTTATATTCGGTCAGTATTGTATAATATTACGAGTATTTGTTCCGCTCGTAATACTTTAGCGTTACACAAGAATATTTTTTTTTTTTTTTTGGTACTCTCAAAGAAAACAAAAATTAAACAAAATTTGACTCGTATAAAAATATTTATTTTTTTAAATAACATAATAATAAAGAATTTTATTTCCTTGAATATTCATTCTCGCGGACGAACCTTCGACTAGCCTAAAATTCAAATGCACTTAATCGAAAATCGAATTTGCCGAAATGCCGTTGCAGTTAGTGTTACTGCTGCAATGCTAAATGCGTTACCAGCAATACATCGACCAGTATCGTGCAACAAATCACGCAGACACGGATGTTTATGATTCAACGTAACAGATCATTCCCATAGATAAACCCGAATTTATGTTTCGCAAACTGAATACAGGTTGCAATTTTATTTCCACAAAACACCTGCTGACCCCGTTGCAAGAAAATGTACAATATGCAGGCTTGGAACTGAGCTTGGAAAAGGTATCAGCCGTTCCGCGGCACAATGTCTGCTCTTCAACAAAGGTGCAGACGTGTAATGCGATGGCAGAATCACGGCTGAGAATTATAAAGAATAATTTATGACTACTTGAAATTAAGATAGTGACGCTAATAAATCTGAACTCTCCGTAAGCGAAATTACGAGCGTCGAAACAAAGGGAGCTCTCGCGTTATGGGGGAAATTTATTCGTTTAGGTGATAAACCCGCAGCCATCCCGAAGGTTCGCCGATACGATTCTCGATGAAATTCGCTGTTTTCCCGTCTCCCCGAGTTGAAGACTCGACACAAGCATAGTCTGAAGTTCTATTCCTTATCTCGTGGAGTTATCCGTAGTTTTAAAAGGATATGCCAGTCTCAGTGGCATGAATATTCACAGAAGCCTCTGTGTTTACTCTTTGACCGAAATTCCGATTTCTTTTGTCATGGATATCAAAGATGATTTTCTGCTTCGTGCAGGCATGAAGAATATTCTTGACGAATATGGGTAACAAATGAATTTCGAATTCGTTTGAACTGGCAAAAAGAAGGTCTTTAAAGGGTAATACAATTTTACCTAACGGAAATGATTTTAATATAACACGAATCTAATATTTCCTGTTAAATTTTTCAGTTATATAAATTTATATTTGTCAGTACTAGACTCAAGTGATTTCAATTATGCAGGTGATTGTGAAAACGGCCTGTCAATGGGTCATGTATATTTAGTTTCGAAATGTCAGAAATTCGCGTCTGGAAAAATTCATAAAATATACTTGACACAATTACAAACTCAATTTAATTTAATTTTATTAATTTTATTTTTGGAATGTTGTACAAAGTAAGTGAAAATTTAATTTCTTTTACATTTTCGACTTTCAAGGAAAGTTAGATTATTCTGATTCGGAAAATTCTGGAAATTCTGATTTTTCTTAAACGTTGTAGGTTTTTGGGGATCATAAGGAACATTTTATACAATTATCTTCTTCTTTTTGTGGATTGCAATTGGATTCCTCGGGATGAAAATTCTCCTGATATGTATTTAAGTGTTTTCTTATTCGTATATATTGCTTAAAAATTATAGTTGACGCGAAAACATCTTTGGAATTTTTAATCCTAATTAAAGATTCTTAATTGCTTGATAATATAATCTTCGCAAGCATAAACTAAAATTGGTATAATATTTTCATCCTGAAGAACTGAAGTTTTGCTAATAAAAGAAATAATTTACCACATTTCTTGGGGTCCTCGACAAACTTTCAAAGTTTCAAAAAAGTTATGATTTTCGAGTTATCTAATGTTTCTTGCTAGACCACTTCTATAGTCATCGGCACACTCGTTTATCGTATCTCGTAAAGCTTTGTTCATAACATACGATGTGACATTTCGAATATAATTAAACAAGTCTTTAAATTTATATTTCTTTATATGATAACGTACGTGGAACGAAAATGTTTGAAATAATTTTAATGGAAGTTAATTCCAGGAACTCAGCCTTCTTACACTAAATCCAAAGTAAATCTAACGAGCTTTAATTCGTGGAACAAAATACGCGTCTCGTGAAATATTTAAACTACGGGGTAAATTTTGTAATCCTTTACCTGTGAATACTGGTGTAATTAAATTATGAAAGTTGTGTACCTTGCAATCTAAAGATACCGTCATTCTGTAAACCGATCATGCGACTACTGTAGAAAACGGATGATGAAATTAAAATTCGTTAATTTTTCCTCTTGCAGTGGTACCCTTCCGTTATTACACCTTACATAAACCAAATGCTGAGAGATAACGCTTTCCCACCTCTGTCCATGCTTTATTATTTTTATTTCTTATCTATTCATTAATTGAATGTTCTGCTG